TGCGACCCGGCCGCTGCGCGGGAGCGGGAGCTGCCGGCTGTCGCTTGGGCGTGGTGTGGCGCCTTCCCCGGCGCCATGCGGTCATTTTCTCTCACCTCTCGTCCCCGCGAAGCTCCGCGCCGGCCCCTGGTGGCCAAGGGGCAGCGCAGCGAGTCGGAGTCCCGTGGGCCAGGGAGGGCCCCGGGGCGCGCGGCCCCGCCTGTGCCCCGCTGTCCCCCGCCCCGTCGGCAGTGTGTCTCCGGGGCCGCGCCTGTTCGGTCTCCGGGGCGTCCTTCACCCCCACCTCTAGCATGTACCCCAGCGCTTGTGTGCATAAATAAATAAATCATCCTCTTGGGCACTAGATTCCGTGTGCTCCTCTGGTTCGCAGGGGCCTTCACAGCCGCCTTCACCTTCTGATTGCTGTGTTCTTTTCGCTGGCTAAGAAATTCTGGCGCGTGAGGGTGAATGCACAGAAACCTTGCGGGCTGGGGGCTAAGGTGAGAGTCAGGAGGCGCGAGGGTCCCTGGCGGGGAGCCCTCGCCGTGGGAGGCCCACCCTGCAGCCGCAGCTTGTCCTTGTGCTTCCGCATCACCGGCGTCCGGTTCTGGGAGGCGGGGACGGCCACTCAATGGCCCCCGGCCGCTCCTCGGGCTCCTGCCCCAGAGGCGGACAGGGAAGGGCTGGTGCTGGCCAGCCCCTGTGGTGACGCACTGGTGCCTGGGAACTGTCACCACAGAGCAGCCCGGAGCCCAGCGGCGGGGCCCTCTCCGCCCTCCCCCTGGCCAGCCAGCGTCCGCTCTGCACCCAGAGCCCATGTCCCCAGAGCCTCCTCAGTGCGAAGTAGCCTGCCGGTGGCGCCCAGTGTGGGCCGGGGAGGACAGCCCGGCGCAGACGCGAGTGGGGAGCCTGCCGCCCCCCCAGAGGCAGGTCTGCGGGGCCCCAGCTGGGGTCCAGGGGCAGGGCCTCTCCTCCTCTCCCCCTCCCCTCCCCCCAGAGCCCAGGGCCAAAGGGAGTCCTCCGTGTGCAGTCGGAGCTGGGGTTCACGCAGGCTTCCTCCCCACCCAACTGCCTTTCTGGGGCTGCGACGGGCCAGAGGCGGCTGGGGCTTCCAGTGAGCCTGGGCAGACGGCGCCTGGGACGGGCTACCCAGAAAACAGGCTGGGGCCTCCCGGGCGTAGGGGTCAGTCTCAGCGGATCTGCATGTTCTGCTCCCCACGCGTCTCTGGGGGACCCTCCAGCCCACACCCCAGTTCTTGTGGGCATAAATAAACAAATCAATCTTTTGTTTTAGAAAAGGAAAACATGGGGGGTCTGTCTGAGCCGTCTGTCCCTCAGGCCCTGAGCCCCGCGCAGGGTGGGTGGGAGCGGACTGCGCAGCCCAGCGACCTGCAGGCCACGCCCACCGCAGCGCTCCAGGCCGCCCGGA